ATAAAAGAATCAAAATTAGGCAAAAGAAATGGGAAATGAACCAACTAAGAGATTCTAAAGTAACAAGAGGAATGATGAGATTATAGAAGACCGTGGAGATAAAATGAGTTCAGTCATGAATACCTTCTTGTCCTCCATTCTCAATATTGCTCCCCGAGTTTTTTTAGGAAGCAAACATAAGATTGTGTCATTTCTCCACTTTAAAACTTCTGGTATCTATTCAATATACAAAGTTCAAATTCCTGAACACAGCCATCATCCGATCCCAAACTATGTTCCAGTCTCCTGAAACACTCTCCCTCCCATGTACGTCACAGGCTTCCAACCTAGAAGTAGCAGATCCCCTGACGTCTAAAACGCAATAGGGGTCTTTGCATTCTTGTGAATATCTCAATATGTTCCATTTATTCGTGATAAATTTGCACAAGCTAAATTAAAATGTCAAGTGCTCGGTTTCCAGTTAGAATTATATTAAGTCAGAAGTTTTTCGGTTGATCAAGAACCCTAACTGATTGTTAATGACATCCTGTGTCAGGCAGTCATAGCACCAGAATCAAACCTAACTGATACACAATCAACCTTGAGTATAAATAGGAAATAACAGTTGAGATTAAGGAATCAGTTGAAAATAAACATTTATAGGTTCACAGCAGAAGTAGTAAATGCTCCATATGCTTCCACGCCTTTCTTCTAGGACCATGGGAGACTTCACTATCAAACATGTCACTCTTTTTAACTCTCAGCACCCCTACAAGTGTTCCAGGTGGTCATGACCATCAGAGTTGGCACACAAAATGAAAACTATCTGCCATTCATGGCCTATAAGTTCACTTTATTTGCTGTTTATCAGCATCACAACTATAGCAGAATTTATATAATTTTAGGGTACAGTGGCATGTGCCTATAATCCCAGCTACTTGGGACTCTGAGGCAGAAGGATCACTTGAGCCCAGGGTCCAAAACCAGCCTGGGTAACATAGCAAGACCTTCTCCCCTTTCTAAAAAAAATGTTTTAAATATAATTTTATATTATTTTCATGAATACTCAACTATTATGAGTCACTGATTAAAATCTGGATAATGCTGTAAAGGAAGAATGGTAATACTAATAAGTACAGTTAATTTTTTTTTCCCAGAACAGAGTCCCTGGGAAAAATATTATAAAAGTGATCCTTGGTAGAGGAAATGCTCATTACTATAATACCTCACTAAACTACATCTCATTCCTGGAACTAGCCTCACACACTCATGACTCCATGTTTCTGATGATCAAGTTTTCCCTCTACCAGAAGTGTCCCTTCACTGTTAAACTTGGTGACTTTGCTCCAGATCAGTTAAAAGAGTACATTCTTCTCTAATCCAAGAAGATATAATTGCTTTCTCTCAGTGCTGCAATAATCTGCACATACCTTTATTATATAACTTAAATAAATAATACATGAACAATAAGTATCTGTCTCCCTTGTTATAATTAAAAGCTTAAAGTAAGGAACTGTGCCTTTTCCACTGTATGGTTTTCTCTCAGCATCTATGTTGGTACAAGTTAAAGAAAAGATTGAATAAGAGAACAGTCTAAGGAATGAACAATAAACAGTAATTAAACAGGTCAGGTAATTCAGAAGCCCCCTTTTGGCCAAATCTTCCTAAGTGCTCAAGTCCTGCCCCATCAATCAAACTGATAAAAAGAAAACGAAGTGTTCTTGTGACACTTCCCCTCCAAGAAAAGTCTGGAGAAGGCTCTCTCTACACATCCCTTCCCCTTAACAAATAACCTTTCTGCCAACAATATTCCCAAAAGACCTTTTCTATGCTCTTTGTGATCCTGCAAAATGCTATCAAATTCTACACTTTCCCATTTTCTACCATCACAGTTTTTCTAAGTGTATCCTTTCTAGTTGTTCTGTTTATTTCTATGCCATTTCTCATATTTCATCTATTTCATTCAATTTTTATCTGCATTCAAAAATGATTACTGTTCTCGCTTAAAACCCTCCGAACATTAAAAGTAGAAGTGCAATTTTATCTGATTTAGGAATTTTTCATTCATAATCATCCAATTTATTTTTCTACACCACTCTTTAAAATTACAACTAATTTGGGTAAAATAGCAAATAGGCTGCAGATACCAATGTCAAAATGCCAGAAATCCACTTTCAATTTCCATTCTATCATATTTTCAGAGAGGGTTTTTATTAATATTAATTATCTAATGTGCCAGACACTGTGCTAGGTGCCACGGATATACACACAAAAAGGGAGCATAGTTTAGTGGAGAGGGAAAAGTAACTCAGTATTTACAGTGCAGTGTGATAAGTGCTATAGCCACCTTAAAAACACAAAATGGAACTAGTCTGTTTCACCTCATGAGATTTAATATTGACACAGAGAATGAAAGTCCATATTTAACTTCCAAAGTCCATGAATTTCCTGAATCCCCAACAGTTAAATACACAAAATACTATTGTGATTGTCTTAGTTTATAAAGCAGGGCATGAAATAATGGTTTGACATCCTACTGAGATCTGGAACTGTAAGTTATTTGGGAATGTGAACTAAGCATAATCTGGTGAAAGTATCTGACCAGTACCTTTGCCTTTTATTATTACCCATTCTTTTTCAGATTTCTTCATCACAGGTAAAATCTTTTGCTGCTAAAACAGTAAGGACCAAGGGTCATATCTTGTTTTACCAACTGTATTTAAATCATGTTAGTGTTCTTATTTTTTTAACAATCGCCATCTTTAAAAAAAAAAACTCTCTCAAAAAGGCATTCATTTGACCAAAACAACCTCAGAGTCATAAATCCACTTATGTTTTATTATAGTATCCATTTTGGTGATATGTTTATTATCAACATTCAAACATAGGCTTCTGCTTCCCATTTTTATTCCAGAGTCACTGGAAATCAGTTTCTCCCACTATTCTGCCTGACCTGATCTTAGCAAAAGTCACTTGGACCTCTTACCCCTCACAAACTGTTTACAGCCTGAGGACATAATCCAAGGAGAACGGAGGTTACATGCCCATTATCTCAGCAGGATAATTTGTAAGGCTGAGGTCCTCCAAATTGGATGACCTCAGTTCATTACATCTTTGTATTACCCAGAAAATGATATTCTTTGACAACTTCCTCACAATTCTCAATTATGAAAAAATCAAATCAGATGACCCTGTAATAAGTGCTCACACACACAGCAAGTCAAGGTACTTTTCCTTATTCCAGGAGCAAGCATCTGCAATGAGGTAAATAGCTTCTGGAGGTGCTCCACTTGGAAGTTAAATTCATGTCCATCTCTATAAATTTAAAATGGGAGTTTTCATAGAGTTCTGTTAGATCTGATTTCCAAGGGTCCAGACATTCCTTTTCTCTCACAGATAGTTTCCACAGTAATAAGTAGGGGGGTCTGAGGGATTAGAACACTTCCCTCACTCATTCCTCCATCAGTACAACTCCATTTCTAGTGTCCTGTTTGAAGGTATTGTGGCTACCACAAACTTGTCAGAGACAAGAGTACAAGTGTTACTTAAATTCTAGACATACTTGTGTTTAACTGCCTAAAAAATCCTTGTTCTTGAGTGAATGGAATTTCTCTGCTGTCACTATTTCTAACCCATGAACCTGGCATTTGTTTTCAAATATCTCACCAACACGCTCATTATTCTCATGACAAATCTACTCATCTCCAATCCCACAAAGCCCAGCAGAAGCAACAAGTGGCAGTACTTCCACTGCCCTCTCTTCTGGAAGTCCTCCCTCTGTCCAAGACTCCTTTACACACCCTCAGGGCTTTGGAGCACCACCAGCAGGACTTCTGACTGACTGCAAAAAAACACAGGTTGGAGTTTCATACACAGAAGCCCCCTGGATAAATGGAGTTCTTTCCTATTTTTCTGAAGTCTTTCCTCAATCTCTCTTTACTCTTCAATAATGGGCAACCAAGCCCTCTGGCCTCAGCACTTTCCCAGTTCCCCACCTGCACCTCAAATTTCCAATAAAAATTACAATCTCACTAATGCCAGTGAGAATTTAATGAACTAGTCATGCTCACTTTATTACTCCAAACTGCTCTGGAAACATGAATGAAGTCCTTAACTTCTAGACTCAGTATTTTCAGCTCTGGAAAGCTAATCTGGAGAAACAATCCAGGGTCAAATTATAGTATATCCACTCAAAGCGCAGTCATTAAAAAAGCCATTAAGAGCTGGCTAAAGAGCAACATGGAAAACTTTGCCTCAAAAAAAAAAAAAAAAAAGACTACTAAGAAATACAACTACATTCGCTGACGCAAAAGTATCAGTATGATGGGGCTCTTGAATCAGTAATAACTGCCATTAAACACAATCTACACTTTGTGATTTCTTATATGGTTTGACTTTTGCAGCAGAAGAAATCAGTATCAGGCTAAATCTCCCTGATAACCCTGTGAAGAGGTATCAAGGCCTTGATTCTGCATATGAAGAAAAATCTACTACAACATATTAAGTCACTATCCAAGGTCACACAGGGATGTCAGAGCCAAGAGTCAGACATACTGTCTTCTGACTGGTTGTTCTTTTTTTTTTTTCTTTAAGTCTTTTTCTAGTTCCTTAAACCCAAGCTAAATGTCATAATTAATACTATCCTCCACAACCAAACCTCTGTCATATCAAACTGGTCCCGTGACAGTGTCATTCAACATTCGAGACCTTTCCTGTTGAACTATCCCAGATCTCAACAATCACCCTGCTTTTCCGAGTAGGAACCGGACGTTATTAAAACGTTTTCACGAAATCTTAAGATGCCCAAATCCCTGCATAATAACGACTGTCACGGAGAAGGAGGAGAGGGCCGACTCAGCTCTTTTACAGGGAGGGCCACGTGGGAAACGTGAGCATCCTAAAGGTGGCGGTGGCGGCCATGCTCGGTGCCGGGGTCACCGAGGACCTCGCCCCGCGAGCCGAAGGCGCCACGCGCTTCCCGCCGCCGGTCCTCGAAGCCGCTCCGCGCCCGCAGGCCTCACCTTCAGAGTCTCGTAGGCGGTCGCCACCAGCAGGAAAGCTTCCTCGGCGCTCTGCGGCGTCCGCCCGGGGCCGTCGTCGCCGGGCTCGGGCCGGTAGCGGTCGGGGTGGTAGCGCCGGGCCAGCTGGCGGTAGGCCCGCGCGATCTCCGCCTTGCCCGCCGAGCGGCTCACGCCCAGCACCTCGTAGCAGTCCCGCGTGCCGCAGTAGAGCCCCTCCACCAGGGCCCCCGCGGGCCGCGCCAGCAGCAGCACCAGCAGCGGGGGGACCAGTAGCACCAACCAGCGCCGGCCGGCAGCCCCGGCCCCCCGGCGGGGAGCGAACAGCGCCGCCATCCCGGCCTCGCCGGCCGCTCCGCCGCCCCAGCCGGGCTCCAGCACTCCGCGGCGCACCGGGCTCGACACGCCAGGGCAGGCCGGGTCCACGTCAGCAGCCGGCGCCTCCGCGCAGGCGCACAGGGCGCGGCTGCCGCAACTATTTTCTCCGCCGCGCGTTGCTAGGGGAGACGGACGCCTCCGCCACCCGGCCGCTTCCGGTATGTTCCCGAACGCCTTCCTGGTCCCACGCGGCGGGAGGGTTTGTGCTTCATCGGACCCAGAAGATGTCTCTGTGTCTCGTAGTCTCTGCTACGAGGTGCCAGGCTCATTTCGCCGATGTGTGCGGAGCGCTCTACCGTCCACATGCACACCACCCGTCGCCTTTTCGATATCATGACTTCACCTGCTGCAGTAGGTAGCCTGGCTCTTGCATCCCGTCAGCAGCATCAAGAACGTATGTGCATAGGGTTCGAAGACGCCTTCCTCTCACTGGCCAACATCCTGCCTTTCCAAACGGAAGATGAACTTGGAAATTCTAGGTTCTGTCTGTCTACTACGGACCCTAGTTCATGGCCATCTAGTTCATGGTTTGTCAGCCTCCACTCTATTGACATTTGGACCATGTAATTATTTGCCTTGGAGGGGCTGTTCTGTGCGTTGTACGATGTTTAGCAGCATCCCTGGCCTCCCCACACTAGAAATCAGGAGTACCACTGTCCCAATCGTGACAATCAAAAATGTCTCTAGATATTGCGAAATGTCTGCTGGGGGTTGAGTTGCAGGAAAAAAATACAGGATGCTCAGTTAAATTTGAATTTCAGATACACAACAAATAATATTTTAGCATAAGTATATCCCAAATATTGCATGGGACTATATAGCAATATGAAGAACTTTGCCTCAAGAAATTGTATCTATCATTCACTTGGTTAATATTTACTGAGTCTCTACTGTGAACCAGACACTGTTGTTTAGGCACTGGAGGCACCATGGTAAGCAAGTTAAACAATATTCTCAATCTCAGAGAATATATATTTTGGTGGAGGAAGACAGTAAACGAGCAAATAAATGTTCAGATATAAATTATTTTAGTAAAATGAAATAAGGTAATGATATATATATAGAGAGAGAGAGCATTACATAGCATATATGTTATATACTATAAATATATTTATGAAGAGAAAGATACAAAATTAATGGAAACCCATAGAAGGGTCACCTAATCTGAAATTATTAGGGTTAGGGTCAATTATTAATGCCAGTTCTGAGAGGAATTGACGGCTAAATTGACTTTGAAGAACAAATAGAGAATAATTTGAAGGATGGGGGTGAGTGAGAAGTTTGGGGATAAGGGAGTATGGAGTAAGTACCAAGAAGAGAAAAGAACCATAGGCAAGAAAAACAAGCATGAAGCTTTTTAAAAAATGAAAAACAACCAGTATGACTGGGAGTGAAAGTGAGGAATGCAGGTGATGAAATGAGAAAGCCAGGTTGTGGGGAGTCATTTTATTTTATGTTGATTTTGTATCTAAAATAGTCAAACTCACAGAAGCAAAGAATAAAGTGGTGGTCACCATGGGTTGGGGGGGGGAGGGAGAAATGGGGAATTGCTAATCAATACGTATAAAGTTTCAGTTATGCAAGATGAATAAGTTTTAGAGATCTGCTGTACAACATTGTGTCTATAGGTAACAATACAGTATTGAACACTTAAATATCTGTTAATAGGGTAGATTTCCTGGTAAGTGTTCTTATCACAATAATATGTAAAAGACTGAATGAACTGTGGGTGATGACTTGGGCCTGTAATACCAGCACTTTGGGAGGACAAGGCAGGAGGTTTGCTTGAGCCCAGCCTGAGCAACGTAGGGAGACCTTGCCTCTATTTTTAAAAAAATCAAAATATTGGCCCAGCATAGTGTCGCACTCCTACTACTCAGGAAGCTGAGACGGAAGGATCACCTGAGCCCAGTAGGTCAAAGCTGTAGTGACCCATGATTATGACATTGTACTCCAGCCAGGGCGATAGAGTGAGAGCCCAACTCAAAAATTTTTGAAACGAGACTAGAGAAACTCACTTTAAAGCAAACAGAGCTTTGGTCCCCCCTTTTGCCAGTTACTAATATATTACCTCTGAGCTACAAACTCACCTTTCCATGACCTGGGAAATGTTAACATCTAGCTGACTAGATGTTAACTCTGCCAGTAGAGGGTGCTTGAGGGTCACTGCAAGGCTGGGAAAGGAAAAAAGGGAAATTTTCTTCTTGAAGCAAACAGATCAATGTGCAGGGTTCCCTGTTCAGCACCATTTTTTGTTTTGTTTTGGTTTGGTTTTTTTGCTACCACATTGGTGATGGCTATTGTTGTGGGTTGAATTATGTCCCTCGCTAAAAGATACGTTCAAGTCCCTGGTACTGTAAATGTGAATGTGTCCTTATTTGGAAATAGGGTATTTGGAAATGTAATTACCAGTTAAATTGAGGTCACTCTAGATTAGGCTGGTCCCTAATCCAATGACTCATATGTCCTAATAAGAAAAGAAAACAGAGGCACATACACAGGAAAAGATGACCAAATGAAGATTCAGGCAAACATTGGAGTTATGCTGCCACAAACTAGGGAATGTCAAGGATTGCTGGCCACCACCAGGGGATGGTGAGAGGCATGGAACAGATTCTCCCTTAGAAGTTCCAGAAGGGGCAGGGCTCGATGGCTCAGCCTGTAATCCCACGCTTTGGGAGGCTGAGGTGAGTGGATTGCCTGAGCCTGTGGGTTTGAGACCCACCCGGGCAACTTGGTGAGACATCTCTACAATAAATCAAAAATTAGCCGGGTGTGGTAGTGCGCGCCTGTAGTTCAGCTACTTGGAAGGCTGAGGCGGAAGGATTGCTGGAGCCCAGCAGGTCGAGGCTGCGGTGGCTGGGAGTGGCCACTGCACTCCAGTCTGGGTGACAGAATGAGACTCCAACTCAAAAAAAAAAAAGTTCCAGAAGGAACCAACCCTGCTTGTTGCCAGGTGAGGTACAGTGTGATGTTCCGAAGGTTCTTTTGACTTGCCACAGAAAAGAATTTTAGAGTGAATCCAAGTATAGTTTACAACAAAATGTATTACAGAGAAAGAGGCATACCCAAAGGGCATGGGCATCTTAAGAGAAAGAATGCACATTTCCCTTTGACAAGAAGCTTTATATACTTTTACAATGATTATTTTGCTAACTGAAAGAAGGGATCCCAAGAAATTTAGAATAAACTTAGTTCACATTTTGTCTCAGTATAACCATTTTTGCATAGATTGACATGCTTTGAATCTAGCAAAGGTTAGACATAGATAAATTTTCAGTAGGCAGGTTTTAGGAAGCATTCAGACATTTTACCGCCAAGCTGGCAGCCTACCCCAGCCCCTTGGCAAATCTCCATCAGATGGAAGACATGGAAAGCCCACCCTTTCTTTTTTTTTTTTTTTTGAGTTGGAGTCTCACTCTGTCGCCCAGACTGGAGTGCAGTGGCCGCTCCCGGCCACCGCAGCCTCGACCTGCTGGGCTCCGGTGATCCTTCCACCTCAGCCTTCCGAGTAGCCGGAATTACAGGCATGCGCTACCACGCCCGGCTATTTTTTGATTTTATTGTAGATATGAGGTCTCGCTGCCCAGGCGGGTCTCGAACCCGCGGGCTCAGGCAATCCACTCACCTCAGCCTCCCAAAGGCGCGGGATTACTGGCTGAGCCACGGAGGCTGGCTCAGCCCAACCTTTCAATTCATGGTTTAGCGTAATGATCTCTAAGAAACTTTCAGTTTCCCTATGGAAGGCGGAAGGCCAAACATCACCCCTTAGCTGGTCAAAGCCATAGAAATGATAATAAGACTGCCTTTTTGGATGGAACTTGTGGATTGGAAACACCTGGCAGGTATCTTGCAGGAAAACCCCTCCCCTTTCTCCTCCCATCTAGATCACCACCATGGCAGCAATCATGTGACTAACCCACCCATCTGCCTGCTGTCGATCACCTGACGTCAGTACCTGCGCTTACCTGCCCCTTTATGATGATGTGAAGCAGACCACCACCCAATCACCTTAATGATCTTCCCCTATCAAAGGGAAGGATTAAAAGGATTCAACCATGAGTAACCAGCCACCAATGCCTTGCTAAGGTATGGTGTGGCCATGTGCTCTTTGAGCTAGGGCCAGGCCATGCTTTCTTAAGTTTTGACTCCCTCCCCTACCTTGGGGAGGCAAAACTCCTCTCTCTCTCTCTCTCTCTCTCTCTCTCTCTCTCTCTCTCTCTCTCTCTCTCAAATTTACTTTCTAAATAAACCATATGTTCTTTCTTTTTTTTTTTTTTTAGTTGGAGTCTCACTCTGTCGCCCAGACTGGAGTGCAGTGGCACGCTCCTGGCCACCGCAGCCTCGCCCTGCTGACTCAGGCAATCCTTCTGCCTCAGGCTTCCAAGAAGCAGGAACTACAGGCATGCGCTACTACACCCAGCTAATTTTTGATTAATTGTAGAGACAAGGGCTCACCAAGTTGCCTGGGCAGGTCTCGAACCTGCGGATTCAGGCAATCCACTAGCCTCGGCCTCCCAAAGTGCTGGGATTACAGGCAGAGCCAATGAGCCCAGCCTAAACAGTATTTTCTAATCTAATTTCTGTGCAATTATTTGCTTCTTTCTCATGGTACTAGATCACACACCAGACATCCACACCCCCACGGGCGTCACCTAATAATCTGGAGGCCTGCTGGGAGTTCGACCTAACACCAACCATAAATTAAGAGGGTGGATTGCAGGTATCTCTCCACTTTTGATGAGCTAAGAGATGGACTTTTCTTAAAACATCATATCTGTGTTTTGGGTAATTCTCTATTGTTTCTGTGATTTGCTACACTGGTAAATTCACATTCCAGTCCACAAGGTAGTCAGGTCTGGTGTGCCTGGTCAGTTGGGTGAAGGATGGGTACCAATAAGAAAGATGTCTAGCCAGGTGCAGTGGCTCACGCTTATAATCCCAGCACTTTGGAAGGCTGAGGTGAGAGGATTGTCTGAGCCCATGGGTTCGAGATCAGCCTGGGCA